TCTTAAAATTATATCCGAAAATAAGCACCTCTTATAACAAAAAAGGGGTGCTTAATTTCGGAACTATACGGTATATGGGTCGTTTTCTAGGAAAACCACAGATTGAAAAGTTTTAATTTTGAGAAAAATGCGATTAAATTTTGTGCTACTTAAAATTTTGTTGATTTATTTTTAGATGTTATGATTATATATTGATCATATATTTTATACATATATTGTTTTTAATAACTAAAAAAAGTTTATTACACATTCGATCAGTTAATTTTGATTAATAATCCTTGGTTGGCATCTATTTTAGAATGTCTAATTTTCGAAGAACAATTTTTTTAAATCTAAAAATCTTGATGCTCTATATATAAATAAGAATAAGTACTTTCATTTGAATCCAAAATCTTAAATTGACCAGAAAATGCCAAATATCTGTTTTCCTAGCAATCTACCCATATACATTCCAATTTTACAGATTGTCAACATAGAGATCTCAACACTTACGCTATAGATTCCAAGGTACAAATTATGAATCGCGTATACGCGATATTTTGGATTAAGCCACATAATTATGCCTAATACTACTAAGGAAAGATTAACATGGTAACGGTAAGTGAAAACTTAACGTTAAAGAATTAGACAAATACGGAAGTGAGTAGACACAGGAAAAATTAATCATTACATCAAATCAAATATCATTATTAAAACACTATTAAATTTTAACTTTGACCGATGCTCGAATTTTGACCTATTCTTAACCAAAATTTCGATAAATTATATTAAACATCAAACATATATTATATTGGGATCTACAGTAAAAGAGGAAATTCTATCCGGCACTTCAAAATATTTTAAGATTATTGGTGAAACGGAGAAAATGAATTGGTAAATAATCTTTTCTTTTAAACAAGGAAGTTGCACCTAGCTATTTTTACCTAAATTTGTTATTTGAAAAATTTCTCACGAGTATTTATTTATTTATTCATTATTTTTTTTTTTACATAGGCTGATATAAAAAGGGTGAATAAGATCTGCGGTAAAGTATGGAACGAGACGAATGTGCTGGAAGAAATGACGAATGATGTTGATAGTCTGATTATTGAAAGAACGCAATGTATGGCGAATTAATAAGAAAGATGATTGAAGAAAGCAGAGTGTTAAGTAACTGTGTGGGTATGGAAAAGGGAAGAAAAATGTCACTTCTCCAGCACCACCCAAGACACCAAAGACGCCAAAGAAATGCAAATATGAGGAATATAGCGCTTCTTTGTCCAGACAGCCTGGCTATGCGGAATGATGCTCTTGGTAATACAACCAATAGTATTAGAGATTTTACGATTTTGGATGCGTTTAAGCTTACAGAAAAGGCTTGGAAAATGTCACAGAAAAGACAATAAAAAATTACTGGAGAACTACTGGAATTTTTTAGAAAGTGGTATACCAGTATAAAGATGGGAGTTACCACGTAAGATTAATTTAGCTTTAAATCGTAGGTTGGATGTTTTGTTTATCATCATTTTTACTATTCTCTATATTTTGTAGATTCAATAACTCGGTCCGAAGTATATAAAAATGTGAACTTCAGGCAAGTTACGGCTGATAAACTCCTCCATCATCATCAAATTTTGTCGAACATTATTTGGAAGGAACCCAAAAAACCAAATGAGAGGTGATCAGAGGAAGAGATGCAAACGTGGTTTAATGGGTTGATGGCGGAAGAAACACTTTAAAAAAATAATTTTAACACAAAAATTCTATAAGTAAACAGTACGTATAATATTTAAAATATATGATAATTTACAAAATTACGATTTTAAATTTTCAGTTATCAAAGCCAATTCATAATACTCATAATTAGGATACGTATTTATGGCATCAAGCTCGAAATGGATGTGTGTAACTGCAGTTGACACACATCAAAATGCATATCTTGGAGTATATGCCGGATGTTAGCGGTTTCGTTACTGAGGATAGCTTTTATCTCAAAACTTCTGAAGCAATGCATATATATAGAAACATTCTACCATCTTTGACGACAATGAATGGCAACTTGATTGGTATGTATAGGTATGACAAATCATATGTATTTGTGCACATGATATTAGAGATCAAGGCTTGTCTGATGAGGACAAGGGGCAACTACTAGATTACATTAGGGTTCTAGTTAATGAACAACCCTCGCATGACCTTTTTGCCGTTTTTTTGTCAGACGGTCGATTTTTTTACACCTGATCTTTAACCGAAACAATTTCGAATACAAAGAGTATTTCGACTCTTTCAGATGAGAATTTCCTTTGTTCTTTAGAATGATCTATAAGAAGTCACCTTACGTATGGGCGGTTGAGAATTGAGGTAAGAGACTCTTTGATTCTTTTATCATTACTTCTATTCTTTTTTTATCATTTCTATAACCATTTATGTTTGTTTTTTTTTTATAGCTGTTTTGAATATTATTGGCTAGGGGTTTTTTTTAACTGTTTTGGACGTTTTTTTTGCTTTCTAGGTTTTTTTTGGTTTTTTTTTAGCTTTCTAGGTTTTTTTTTTGTATTACAAATGGAAATACAATCTTGGATTCTGCTGTCGAAATTACATAGGTACTGCCCGATTATAGTCTGAAAAGGTGATAATTCAAAAACCAAGAATGAAAAAGGATGGGTTTAGTAAGTTTTATAGATCTAAATAGAGGCCTCAAGATTTCAGCATCAGCCCTCGCATTATATATAATTGTTTATGATAAATTTTGTTAATATAATTAACTTAATTATTAAAAATGATACGAAGAAAATATTGTAACAAGTTAATTGTTATAAAAAAGCTTGTTAAAAGAGAGTTAACTATATACAGTATTGTTATTACCATAAATTCTCGAAATAGTGGGCAGGGGCGTTATTTCGAAAATCACACCTCCTAAAAATAGCATAGGTGGTTTTGAAATAATGCCCATGTGCGTCCCGAAATAGCGCGCACCTCGAAGAGCAAGTATCACTTTACAGAATTGTAAGAAACTTATTAATATAATAAACATATTATAAACATATTATAAACAATTTAATATATTTATTATAGGACTATTATATTATTAAAATATTGGAATTTTTTTATTTTATTCTGTTATTATTATT